TCACATCAAAGCTAGACTGCTTCTGTATCTATATAATCTTGATACATGTTAAAGTCCTCCTTGGTATTATGAAATAGGTGATCAACAATATAAAGAAACTGAAATTTCTATTGACTTCATTATGTGTCCACTGCATATGCAAACTATGCAATATACTGAAAGAATGAGGAAAAAAATAAATTTCTTAATTGATAATCCAATACTCTCTGAATTAAAAGAGAAATGTTTTTACCTATCTTACTTCAGAAGGCAGAAATGTACAGCGCAGCATTCAGTTCTACAACTAAATGAAACATTATTTTTTTTATTCCTAATCAAATTCCTTCACTTCTAGAGTTTATTTAAATATCACACACAGCCTTAATCTAGTCACATTAATTCAGAAGCACATAACACTGATTTCAATGTATGTGAGATAAAGAATCTGGCATTTTTTTTAATGTATTAGTTCATAAAATATATAGACTGTTACATACGATCACCCCTTGTTTGGTTACAAAATTTTTAACAATCCAATAATATCAGCTAAGACATCTATGATCCAATTTAAAAAAATATAACTAATATTTTTAAATGTTGGCTATTGAAAATGTATGTCACATGTAATATTAACAGATGATATTTATGCCAAATGCTGCACAACAGGACAGCAAGGGATCAAGCATTACATTCTGGATCAAGACAATAACTCTGCTGTCTTGAGTCTTCTCTCTAGGCCATTTGGCAGCATAATTCACCAATGTTTCTGAATTAGTGTTAGAGAAAAGTTCCAGAGTCTTTTTGCAAAGGAATAAAATAGGCCTGGACATCATAACTGGCATAGGAGGAAAATACCATCTGCCAAAAAAGTAGCTCACCCATGCAATTGTTCTTTTATTTCTGATCCTCTGTTATTATGTGAAGGAAAAGCATTATTTCATATACATATTATAATTGAAATGTACACTGGAAAGTTAAACCTATAATTAGAACTTGCCCAGAGAAAATTATGCTTAAATTTTGGATGGAAGCACGAATGTGAAATATAACCGTTATTTTTCAAAATTTGAGTTTATGAACTGCCTTACTCTCCACAAATGTAGTTTTGATTTTCTGTGCTCTCCCAATGAACCAAAGCTTTATTTTGTTTTTCTGGCACTGATATTGCTGGAAAATAAAGAATGATTGTCTCTAAATCTAACACAGCTAGGGCTACCAGATATTTGAACAGAGAAAGGAGGATATGGATAATTGGAAAGAAGAACAAACGGTGGAAAGGAAGACAATTTCTTGGCATCTGTGAGAAAAAATGTTCTTATACCTACAGGTATATGAAATTACTTTTTCCAGTACCAGATTGTTTTTTATTTTTAGAACAAATATTTATTTTCAAGAATATGTGCTAGTAATAATATAGAATTGATGATGTCAGGCTTTTCAAATTTCACCATAGCAATGAATGTATGAGTCATGTGATTTATATAGTGATCACAGATTTGAAGGGATTGGATTGAAGCCAATTGCTGGATTTAGGAAATAAATAATGTAAATCTAGACAGCAGATGAAAGACAGAAAGAAGATGACCAGTTTCAGTGACTACTACTGTTAAAATAGTCCAAAGAACAACAATAACGATAATCAGTTGTCAAAAAGCCAGACAATGTCTACGTTTAAGGTCATGCCTGCTGGACAGAGGACATGAAGACAAATAAAAGGACATTCTTCCTTTTGCTGGGCACCTAGTAAGCCTAAGCACAATATGGAACTCCCACTTGAACCAGTAAATTAATGGAAAGGCAGGATATAAATCCACAAATAAAGAAGCAAAACAAAAATTAATGGTATTTATTCCATTATTTATTCCACTCTTTCTATGCCACCCAAAGGCTTAGGGTTTATTGGCAGTTAACCCAATAAATGTTAAGATCATAAGAGCCACCAACAAATAAAGTAGAACTTAGATTTGGTGGATATTTATATCAGGAAATCCTTGTAAGCAAGGGGCATAGGAAGTTTGAAAAGTAGCAGGCAAAGAAGCATGGCCCAGTCTCATCTGTCCAGCTCAAATTTCTGTTGGGAGACAGAAGGCAAGCATTTAGTAAATGCAAAATATACAGTACACATGTTCAGTGTAAAGAAGCATGCTGGTGCTTGTTCAAGTCAGTTTTATGGAGGGGTTGCTGTTTTGTTTAAACAGTAGATAAGGATGGTTTCTAAAGGAGACTGGATTCTTTTTAAAAAAATCTTAAGGCAGACACAAAGTTACTTCCTCAGCTAACTCTTAGAGAGCTCTGGAAAAAACAGTTTCTGCTAATGACTCTTCATGCTTCTGCCAGTCTTCTCTCTCTGGATAATAAAATATACAATTGTAAACAGTCATATCTCATGCTGTGACCACACTGGAATGATAGCTAAGGAATGACAGCTAAGGACAGAAATAAGGATTAACAATCCAACTGGGAGATGCAACACATCTCTGGAAAGATTCAAAAAACCCTGGAACAAGCCATCTGTAATTACTAGAGCCAAAGGAAAGCAGCAAGGAATGCTGGACAGCTAACCATGGAGCAAAAATAGAAAAATAGGAAGTTGAAATGCTTGGCATCCTGTGGTTGGTTGTTATTGTTTACTCTTCATAAAATATTAGTACACGATGCAAAAAATGATATTGTCTGCCAATTTTAATCTCCCTTAAAACTCATCCCATAGGGCATGGGCCAATATAAAGCAGCCAGCATAATATATTGATTTTTGTGTTGGCATAGGACTGTGGACATCCAGGTAAACTTGATCCAGTTATTTTTCTT